ATTTTCCTCTCTCTAAGCTCAGCTTTTTATACAGAAATTATACATCAAGCTAAAGAGGTTCTCCAGTCAACTAGTCTGACTGACTGCTATGACCACCTCACTGAGTCTGCTACCCCTATTCAACTCAGGGTGATATAATTCTCAAAAACTAGGGAGCAGGTATGGTATAGTACACACTGGTGTAAAAAAGAATTCACATTTTCATCATTAGCTCCCTCAAAGATATAAACATAGACCTCACTTAACTTTGGACACATCACCAGCAAATTGCTAGGAAAGGACATTATGTTTGGTAAAGTACTAGTTGTTGTTGTTTTGTGCCGTTGAGTCAGACCTGACTCATAGCAACCCCTCCTTGGCTGTCTGAGGTGGTATCACTATGGAAGTAGATTGCCCAACCTTCCTTCTGAGGAGTGTCTGGTGGGTTTGAACCACCAGCCTTCTGGTTAGCACTCAAGTGCCTTAGGCACTATGCTACCAGAGCTCATTTGGTAAAGTAGAGAATCAGTAAAAACAAGGAAAGCCCCCAATAACATGGACTGACCAATAGCTTCAAAAAAAGATTGAAATATGTCTGAGATAATGGACATAACTAAGCATATTATTATGTACATTATGGTAATATAGTGTGTGTTATCAAGGAAGATGGAAATATCAGTTCTATTTTAAGCTTTAGTCACCAATTGGGTAATATTGATTAAGAAACCCAGACTGTATATAAAGTAGCACCTGTACTGGGATTCCTGAGTATTCAAGTCTTCAGGTAAGCAAGTCTTGTGCATTGGTGTTAGGAATTGTGGGGATGTTGGATACCATCTGAATTGAATATACAGAGGAAAATCTGTTTTTCAAATTAATCCATAAGCAGAATTTTAGATTCATGGACTCCCGAGGCTAGTAAAATACACTTATTATCTATATAGATGATTTCCAACATAAAGAGGACACTTATTAGTTATGCAAATATCTTAATATTATAATAGTGTAGATATAATATTAATATTATAAAATATTGGCTATATAAGAGGAAAGTAGTAGTGAGCCCATATCAATGACTTGATTAAAACAAATAATGGAGAAAAAAATAAAGGAATACACTAAGCTAAGTAAATTTAGAATTAGCTATAAATTTCTTCACTATCTTTGCAGAAAACAAACTCTGAGAGAGATAATGGAAACTATAGGATACAGCACATAGGTGAACACCAATTTCTTCTTTGTTGTTGCTCATTTGTTTTCCTTTTATCTAACTTCTTCAGTTGTCTTGGATCAACTTGCACTTTTCTGGCCATAGAAGAGCTTTAGGACACTGTCTCGTATCTGTTTTGTCTTTACTCCATAAACAATGGGGTTCAGAGTTGGGGGGAGAAGCAGATATAGATTAGCCACAATAAT